GGGTCACCCCAAACGCCCCGGGCGCTGCGGCCACAACTCGGGGCGCTCGCCTGTAGCACAGGTCACCCCATATGCCCGAAACGCCGGGTCCCCCCTGCCCATACCGCTTCTCCTCTTCACTCCCGCGGGTCGGGTCCCATCCCCCGAGCCCGGGGGGCTGCCCGCGGCCCCGTGCCGGAGCCTTCGCCGTCCGGTTGCGAACAATGCGCGCCTTTTCTGGCGGAGCCCCCCGCGCTGAGCCCAGCCCGGCCGGCCCCCGCCCGCCGGCACCGCCGCATTGTTACTGGCGCTGCCGCCCCCCGCACGGCCCCGCTCCCAGCGCGGCCCCGGCCCCGCACACCTGCCCCCCGGGCCCCCTTTGTTCCCTTACCTGCGGCGGGCGAGCCCCGCAGCGCCGGCACGGCGAGCAGCAGCGGCAGCAACGCGGGCAGCGCCGGCCGCCACCGCGCCGCGGCCACCACGGAGCGTGTCATCCCCTCCATGGCACGGCACGGCCCGGCCCGGCGTCAAGTCATCGCGGCGGCCCCCGCGTCCCCCCCGCGGGGGGCTGAAAGGGCTGGGCGGGCTCGGCGGCTCCTCCCGGGCGCATCCACCGCCGGCGGGGCTGGGACGCCCGGGGACGGGAGGCCGCCGCAGCACCCACCCTTCCCCACGCCCACCCCGTAGGGAGTGTTCACGGGGGCAGCGCCGCGGCGCCTCCCAGGAGCGGCGGGCGGGGGGAGCGGCGCGGCTCGGGCTCGGCAGGCGGAGGGGCAGCCCCCGCTGCGGGACAGGGGGCTCCGCGCCCGGGCGGCTACGGCCCTTCACGTGCGAGGAGCCGGCGGCGGTCAGTACCAGCAGCAGCCCAGACCCACCGCCCGCTCCCCGCCCGCCGGCGACGCGCTGCCCCGGCGGAGCCCGGCCGCGGCGGCGCGCACAGCCGGGCCGGCCGCCCGCCACCTGCGCGCTCCCGGCCGCGTCCGCGTCTGCGCGGGGGCGCGCCCGGCCCGCCCCCTCCGCCGGGGCGGTGGGGAGCGGAGGGGCGGGGCCGAGGGCTCGCCCCCGGGGGAGCCGCGGAGGGCGGGGCGGCCGCAGCTGCTCCCGGCACCTCCCGCCCGCCTCGTCCCGGGAACGGCGCTGGAAGTGCTGAGGGGCCGGCTGAGTCACCGGTGGCTCCGGGTACCTTCTCTGTGAGCGGGGCGGCCCCAGGACCAGCTGTTTCCTGACTGCGCTGCCCTCGTGGCACAGCGAGGTCGGGAGGATGGTTATGCCGTCTCTCAGCCCTCAGGGCAGGCGCGGGGGTGCCTGGGGTCAGCCCCGTCTTCCCACAGGCTGTGCACTGAGTTTGGGAGGTGAAACAGTAATAAAGGTGCCAGCGGGAAAGGCGAAGGCTCAGCAGTGAGGACATAGCTACGTGGCAGGACATCCACGCAACATTAGCGTTGCTTTGGGGGATATCGGGCACAAAGACGGGGGACCCGTTTACCACAGAGCTCTTCCTGAGCCCTGCTCTCCTCAGGAGCACGGCTGAGTAGAGCAGTCATAAAACTACAGAATATCCTGAGCTGGAAGGGACCCACAAAGCCACCAAAGTCCAACTCCTGGCAGGACAGCCCCAAGAACCACACCACGTGCCTGAGAGTGTTGTCCAAATGCTTTTTGAACTCTGTCAGGCTTTGTGTTGTGACCACTTCCCTGGGGAGCCTGTTCCAACCCTGTCTGACAACCCTCTGGGGAAAGAACCTATTCCTAATATCCAACCTAAACCTCCCCTGATACAGCTTCATGCCGTTCCCTCGGGTCTTGTCACTGATCACCACAGAGATCAGTGCCTGCCCCTCCTCTTCCCCTGGTGAGGAAACTCTGGACTGCAATGAGGTCTCCCCTCAGTCTCCTCTTCATGCTGAACAGAGCAAGTGACCTCAGCCACTCCTCGTATGTTTTCCTTTCTAGATCCTTCACAATCTTCATGACCCTCCTTTGGACGCTTTCTAATAGCTTTACATCCTTCTTACATTGTGTCACCCAAAACTGCACACAAGTGCTCAAGGTGAAGCTGCACTAGCACAGAGTAGAGCAGGACAACCACCTCCCTCAGCTGGCCAGAGATGCTGTGCTGGATGCAACCCAGGACACCTTTTGGCTGCCAGGGCACACAGTCACTAAGGAGTACCAGTGACAGCTGGGAAAAGGTCCCACCACAAATTAGAGCTGTGCTCACGATTAAATAGACTATCAGTTCATCAGGGGACTTCTAATGCTTTTCTCAGCACACATCAGTCGCAACAGAAACAACTCACTCCCAGAGATGGATGGAAAGGGCAAAGAATTCATTTTGCTGACATAGAGAAATAGAGTAATACATTTTAGCTGGGCATCACAACACAGTATCACTTAGACAGCAAAGGAAAATAAAGCATGTCCAGTCCTTGGCAGTGGACACAAGCAAAGCTGAAATCAAATCAGCTGAAGCTGTGGCTCAATATAGACACAGTGAGTAGGGGGAGGGCATGAAATCTCAAAAAAACCAGCTGGTTTTGGGTTAGACATTTTCAGGGTTAAAATGCCCATGAATTCCCTCTCTTTTATCAAAGGCAATTACTCTGATGGGTATTTCAGGCCTTCTAGCACAAGACCTACACTTTCATTCTAAAAGTCTCAGTCAGTACAATATAATTTTCTTTCATTTTGTACAGTGGAGCGATATTTTACAGAACATTTCATGGGTGTTTACAAGCCATATCTTAAAGCTAAGCTAAAAATCTAAGCTATAAAATCCCATGCAAAGATTTTAAACATTGCAAGAAGAAGACCACAGTAGGACACAAAAAACCCCACCCCATGGTTTTTGAAACATCTAACAGAAAACTGAATGCAGAAAAACTTCTATAACATCCACTTTTTTTTTTCTTTTATCTGAGCAAATAACCAAAAAAAATATCAAGGCCTGAGGATTGTTTCTGCTGCATTACATTGCTGATGAGAGAAGAATGTCTTTGATGTTCCTTTTAATTTTCTAAAACCAGAACCCACTAAGACACAATTTTTTTTCATTGCTAGTTGTCAGGCCCTGAAAAACAGCTCAGCTCAAAAGAGCACTCTAGCCTTTTTTTATGATTACCTACCCACCATTTGTGGATACGTGCCGTGTCAGGTGCTTCCTTGCTGCCACCTCCCTCTGTTTCTCTTGTCCTTCCCAACCTTTTCTGCAAATCTGCAGTGCAGGCTAAACAATAGCCATCTTAAACCCCGCCACATTACTCCAATATGCCTTCATTGTAAGCACCAGTGTGCATGTATGTTTGGCATTGGAGTGTGCAGGTAAATACTCTTTCTGTTTGCAAAAAGTGGTTTTCTTTTTCTTTTAATAAGCTAGCCCTCAGAAGTATTTAGCAAGTGAACAGGAATCCATCCGTGCTTCAGATTCAGTGGGAGCTCTGGCAGTTAAGACCCTTGAAATACTTAATTACAAAACATATTTCAGACCCTATCATCTTCGTTGAAAGAAACCACATTTCGTCATCCTAACAGTGCCTTTAGTAACAGAGCACGTAAGGCTGCTTGTAGTACATTTCAGATTGCATGTAGGTAATTTGTTTCACCAAGATCCAAAGGTAAGTTCCCAGACTAAAGTGTGAGACAACTTCTCTCACATTTCTGAGATGTTATCCATAATGAAATACACCATAACTGCTAACTCATTCACTGTCTCAGCTAACACGATTTCCTGCTCCAGTTCCCAGAGTTCAGTTCACGAAAATAATCCTGTCTTGTGTTTGGGTTCTTGTTCCCCAGTTTCTATGTCTTTTGAGACCAAACTGGCATTTATGTTACTTCTCCATTTCCGGGGCCAATTTAAGAACTGTCACATTCGATCACATATTCTCTATTCCCCTGCAATTTCACATGTTCCACCAGACACCTCTAAATTAAAGTTCCGTTGTTAAATAACAACTGGCATTGAAAGAGGAGCTATGAGGCAGCTACCTGTTGTGCTACAGTTCACCCTCTGCTTTGGTCTGTTGTCTCCCGTAAGGTGTGAAAGAATTTCCCTAATCTCATATGATTCTCTGTCCTGCTTAGCCTCCTCTTTCACTGGAGTCATACTTCGGGGCAATCCTTTTGCAGTTGTGGCTCCTACTCCTCTTAGTAATTACATTAACTTTATTATGTTTGTATTGTTGTTTAGGTTCTTTGATTTTTTTGCAGTCCTTCCAGTCCCCGTTTTTCCTGGAAAGCTACACTGTGTCAACCTGACTGACATTTTCTTCGCTCATTTGCCTTGAACCAGGGTAGGAGTTATCCATATGAATTACCTTTGTGGTAGCTGACTCCCACCAATTTAAGATCAACTACAGGGTTTTTCTCCATCTTCCCTTTATGTAGTCTTCAGTTATTTCTTTGGTGTACTTCTCATTTACAAAAAAGTCCTCTTTTCCTCTGTACTGGAGGAATCATAACAAAGGACATGTAGATAAAAGGTGCAGAATATCCAGCAAGAACTTCCCACACATATCCCTTGGTCAGATGACATGCTGGGATTTGTGGTGGAGATGATGTTTTTCCTTTCCCTTTGGAACAGCAAAAAACCCCCAAACACCTTACATGCTTCAAGCAAGTATCTTAGGAATGACAATTAATTATATAGTATAAACAAAACAAAACAAACAAAACCCCAAAGATCTATAGCAGGCTTCAGATTCCAATAAAATAAAAATCTGAAAAACTACAACAGATTTTGCTGGGACGTGAATACAGGCCAAAAATTCTGGAATCTTGCAAACCCATAAAGTGAAACTAGCCATAACTTTAACAAAGTTTTACTCTTCAGCTTGCAAAAAAATTCATTACAAGAAGTAACTTATTTGGAGGGTGAGAAATTCTCTTCCCTGTGGTATCCTGCTGCGATCCATGGCGCTATGGAGTAAGATATTAAACATATATAACAATATATGAGACTGTTTCAGGGGAGAGCAGAAGCAATCTTTTCTAGCAGTGTGGCTTACAAGGGTTATTTACTTACTGCTGAATGACTTCCCATTGCACATACACCAGGAAGCTTTTGACATTACTGTGCTTTCCACTACAGCGACGGCTACTCTGATTTATTACTGGGTCAAGGCTGAGGATGCAAAAAGACCAAAGGCTGTGCAAAGTATGATTAGATTGATGACGACAGGTTTCACCTGGAAACTGGGAGTTTACTTTTTGAAGGATGCAAGGCTGGGGGGAAACCCGCACAACACTGTAGATAGAAACCTCTCAGGTGAGCACACAGAGAGGGGCATTTGGAAGCTGAAACCTCAGCAGTGAAAACCTCCCCCCACACTACAACAACAGAAACAAGAGTGTCCTCAGAAGGCTCTTTGTGGAAGTGCTCACTTCTTCTAGTTGCCCAGGTTCTGCTGGAAGAAAAGGTGTGAAATTAGATCCTCTTGCCAACCTCGATGTACTTGCCAATCACCTTGCTTTTTGTGGCAAACGTAATACCCAAATCCAGAAACGATTCTCAAAATTGCACATCAGAACCCTGGTTCAGAGACAATGGAGTGAATCAGAAACCATCAACATTATTTCCAATGGATCCAGACAACTGCTCAGCAATTTAACTTTCAGTTATTACTAGTTTGAGACTCACTGACCAGAAATATTTTTAATATATTTTCCTGCTGTGAACAATATTTGTGTTAAATACAACAGTTTGGATTTTTCTCCTACTCTTTTGCTGCTGCTGAAATTTGGGAAGAAATAGATTTTTGTCAATGTTTTCAATTGACTGAACTGCCCCTCGAGAAAAATGTTTGAGGGCAGTATTCTAGCATGGCTTTCTGAAGACCTTCTGACAATTTGTTGGGGTATTCCCGATGTTCTCAGATGAGTAGTTTTCTTACCAACACTTGTGTCTAAGGGAGCAGAGAGTGCTTTTTTTTTTTTTTTTTTTTTTTTTTTTTTTTTTTTTTTTTTTTTTTTTTTTTTTTTTTTTTTTTTTTTTTTTTTTTTTTTGTTAATGTTTTCTTTATACTTTCTGCAAAGCTGTGTGTTATGGAAAGTCTCATGGTATGCGACATAAAAATGGCACAAACCATTTACAGAACAATACAGCTCAGTCTTATTGTGCTCTTCTGTTCTATTTCTGAACTCTCATACTTTGCTTGATGCAAACCTGTGCTCCAGGTTACTTCTGCCCTGTTCCTTTTAACTAGCTGATGAAGTACAATAGCAACAGCTGCTGGCACCAGAAACCAGCTAATGAAACACATTGGTTTTGTTCTAGAAAGTCAAAGGAAGGTACTAGAAAGTATGTTTTCTGGGTTAAAAGGTGAAAGGGAAAAAATCCCCAAACTTCATTAGAGTATCAATTTTTGTATTTGTGTAGCTTAAGAAAATACTCCTGTATGGTCCCAAGTTGCAACTGTTGTAACAGGAGCAATATTGGCAACTGGCACGAGAAATGCCCATACAAATACCAGACTGTCCCTACGCAAAAACAAAAAAGACAAGAGAAGCATGTATGCTATGTTTTCAATCCTGAGCTTCTAAGTTGGAGAAATATATGAATATACTGAGAAACAGTCTATTTCTTCCCTATTTTCCACTACAGATTTCATTAAGACATTAGAGAGACTTTGCAAGTGCATATTTGTTTCACTGAAAGGCTCGTCATCTCCTTGCAAATATCTCAGGCTGTCTATTTAATCAAGTTCCTGGACCTTTGGCTTTGGGTCTGCAACAAATGTCTCTGATATACAGCCTCATACTACTCCTCCTAGGAATGGTTACTCGGATTGCCTCCTCTGGCTCCCTCACTTTCACAACCTGCCAAAACCTTTTACCTCAAATTCCTGTCTCTTCAGTTCTTCTGAGGCAATCTTAGAATAAATGGGCTTAGTGTTCCTACAGTAAAGAGCTGTGCACATCTCTGAGCCGTTGGTCTCTTTTCCTTCATATCTGCAAACAATCTTGACCTTAAGTATCCCATTTTGTTCATAATGTATCATTTTATAACAGAGACATACCATATTCAGAAATTATTGCACCACAGATACATTTTGCTCTTTCAAACTATCCTTCAGTCTTATCCACTGAGCAACCAAAAATAACTCTACTTCCAGTTAGCTAACTTACCATATTAAAAATAATACTATAATAATGCTATAGCACTGTTCATAACAGCAATTAGATTGTTTCTCTTTGTTATGGAATGACACATACAAAAAAGAGCAAGCCAGATCTTGTTCGCGTAGTTTTGGAACTTAAGTAATTTTCAAGTGCAGTGAATTTACTATAAAATATCCTTAGTAATCTCATTTTAAATGGAGTGTTCACTGAAAAGGTCACTTACACATACATCCTTTAAACTCCTCCCACAAAACAGAATCAACAAACCTTCCTGCCACTTTATGCAATGTCAATAAATACTTCCAAAAAAATACCCAGACCTTGCAAAATCTTCCTCCACATCTGTTTCTAGTCATCACTTCATAATTCAGGGTACATCTCCCATCCCATTCCGGAAACCATTTGGATTTCGTATAAAAAGATAAGGCTTCCTCCTGTCTGGTCCCAGTATATTTTATACCAAAAATTACTCAAATGCTCTCCTAATTTATATAATGAACAAGGCAGATCAGTAAGTTTTGCCAGTCAAGGATCAGTGTTTTTTGGAAAGTAAGATCAATCAGTAGATGCTTTGCCAGATTTTAGCAGGAACAGTTGGAAGGTTCACTTTCAAAACCTTGTCCATGACATTCCCCTCTAGTGAGCTTTTGCTCCTGCTGACAGATGCTAGTAGCTTGATCTTCCTGAGAGAAATGTTTTAACAGCCTTTTTCCCTTCCCTCAAATCTACTTTGGTTTCCTACTGCTAATGGTTCCTGGTCCCTCTAGAAGTTACAACCCCAGGCTCCCTCCCATTCAATAGCTGTCACAAAATACCTACACTTCTGTTCTTTACTCTTTTTTCTTCATTCACATTCATCTTCCCGCAGTCTTCCTGCCTTTATGTCACCCTAAAGACCTTTTCTCTCCGTGTTGCTTCCCTGTCTTTCAGTGAAATGTCACCATCCAAACCTTTGGAAAGCAAGAAACTCACTTTATGTTACTATACTTGAGGCCCAAATTCCGTGATTCCTAAACCATGTTTCACATTATTTGCTTCAATCAGCATTGTCCCCCACCAAACACCCTTGTCTAGCATTGAAAACTGCAGTCAGAGGGGTGTGCAACTCCTTGTTACTTTCATTACTTTTTTTCTTTTCCAAAAGTAGAGCTTACAAACTGTGCCTGCAAACCAGGACCCCTTTGTATCAAATTCAACAGACACAGAGCAAAGCGAGCCAGAAAAGATGGTTCTTGTCTCTCTCTATTAAACAGCCAGAGTACAAATCCCAGTTTTGGAGCTGGCTCATTCAGCTTTGCCTCAGGGATATTTGCACCATGGTGTGTCACAGCGCAGCTGTGCCCTAAGTAAACTTTAAAAAAACCCATTGTACAGACTTGTGACAGGCAGACATAATAGAGAGGCATAAAACCCTTGAAAAGCCTTAATCATCAAGAAAAAGAAGAGCTTGTTAAGGACAGCATTTGAAAGAGAAATAATTTAATCTGAAAAAAAAAGGCAAACCTGAGTCAGAACCTCCGGATAAAATTTCTGGCAGTGGGATACACCAGCATGGAAATCACCCTCCAAGAACAGCGACAAAACCCTTGGAATTTTAAGGCTTATGTAGACTGGGCACAGAGCAGAGTCCAGGGAACAACATTAGATGCCATTGAAGACTTACTCTGCTGCTAAATTCAGTGACAGAGACATGAGCTGAAAGCTCTGGCGTTACAAAGGTACCTCTTATTCACAGCTCAGCTGTTTAACATTTTAACATTAACGTTTAACATTCATTACAGGTTGCTGATGTGGTGTTTTCTTCTGTACTCTGATACGGATTTTAAGCTTAAAAACACTGGGAGCAAGATTGAATTACTGACACAGATACATTAATTGGTTATTTGATATTGTCAGATTTTATGTTCATCACAGAAATCATTAAAATTATTTCCTTTCCTTTAAAAATGGGAGGGAAGACACAGGCAAATATGAAATTGCCTCTGAACCCCACAGAGGCATTGGTGACATGGGCATTTGCCTCAGCAACCCAGGGAGTCATGTGGCTGGCACATGCTCCGGAGCAGCCAAGTCTTCAATAAAGATAAAAGCATCACTGAGTGCGGTCTTCCTTCTCAGGTGCCACAGCAGCAGGCATTACCCAGACTGAGGTCAGAGCACTAGAATAATTAGCCTGAGTCCGTGGTGGGCCGGTATTTGTCTGCTATGATGACTTTCCTGGAGTGGAGCTGCATTGCCAAAAGCTGCCTCTAAAACTGACCTCTGTAAATGCTCGTTCTAAATACTGAGGTCAAGTCCCAAGAGCGAATGCAGGGCAAAAAGTAAAGATCAAGAAGTTAAGACAAAGGAGGATTTAGGACACCTCTCCTGATAACTTTTCTGCTGAGCTAGGGGAAAGCCACAGGACAGAATAATCTTGTCCCATGGAAGAAGTTAAAAAGGCACGAGCTGCAGCTGCTGCTGATGTCTGGTCAGGAGAGCTACTGGAGGGAGCATCTGCAATTTGAGACAGAACTCTTTCCTTCTCCAGTTCTTTTCAGTCATATTTTATGCAACGTTAAATTAGGGTCAGATAAAGGACATGCTAGCAGTGTCCTTGCCAGTGAAAACCACAAGTTCACTGTTGAATTATGTTTATTTACTCAGTGTTTGATAAAAAGAGTTTCCCTTTTAAAGTCCATTTGAGGAACCTGTGAGGCTGAAAACAATATTTGGACACAGCTCTGAAGAGTTAATGGAAGTTCTCTGTGCTCTGTTTGAAACCAGTTGGGGTTCCCTTTTAGCACATTAGTTGAATGTATACACTGGGAACATTTTTCTTTGTTTTATGTTACTGCAATTTGCAAAACTTACACTAATAGCCCAATTTCAGGCAATTACCTGAATGCAAAACATCATTCGGTTGAATTCCCATAACTTAATCCTACTAGTTCCCTTGGCTGTCTCACTTTCAGTTATGAACCAAGGTCTGCACATCAGATGAAATGCTGCTATTGTAAAAATGGATCCTTTCTTTAGAAGTTATTTTCAGTGCTCTTCTGCCATACAGGCTGTTTTCATTGTCTGCAACCAAAGGCACTTTAAGGAAATCTGATTTTAACATCACGGGCCTGCAATACATATACTTTAGCTTATACTTTAGTGGTTTGTTGTGTTTCTGTGGTAATGACCCAGTCATGTTTGCTCCATAATTGTACCTCTAAATGTCTCTTGAGCTGCACATATAGGGCAAAGTGTAGATTTATGAATACACAGGGGAAGGGGGAGAAAAGAGGAAGGCCATACAGAGAACTACATCCCTTTTTCCTTACAAACATAACACTGCTAACAGAGTTTTGGAAGGCAGGCAATGGATGATGTTAACACTACATTAACGCCTACATGGTGTTCGAATCTGAGTATTAAGATATCATAAGGCTGGCTAAGGAATCATACATGTCTGGTTTAATATTTACTTTTCCCTTTTGGGGGCCTTTACAGTTCGTATCTTCAAGTTTTACTCCACAATCTAAGAAAAAAGATTGAGCTTTTTTTTCTTTTTATGTGAAGTCAAAGCTTTTATTAAAACACATGACTCCAGGATCTAGGACTTCAAGAAAAATACCAAAGAAGCTGAGACTTATAGGAGTCAGAAACATCCTATGTTCTTCAAATCAAGTTAAAGAATTAACCCAGCCAAGTGATCTGCTGTTCTGGAAGGAAAACGTACATCTTGAAAAATGTGGATAACGTCATACCAGGGAGTATAGTTCCTTGAAGCTTTGGAAGGTTTGACTTCTGCTCTACTACATCCCTTTCTTCCTGTTCCTCTGAAATACCTATCCTGCATTTCCTCATTTGTGCTCAATTTACTGTATCCTTGATTGATTACAGACCTCTCCTTTTGGGTAGGAGGAAACCATTCTTACATCCACTTTGTAGAGAACTTGCATTACTTGACTCAACCAGGATAAATGTAATAGATCCTTTTTAACTGAAATTACATGCATATATTTCTTTGAAACTCAGTCTCTAAGCTCCATTCCTTTGTTATGAATGCAAAGAAATAATATTAATTGCATTATAAGGTACAACAGACATCAGCCTCTGGCCTTACCTGACTTTCCCCTTTGTCTATAGAGGAAGGCTTCAATAACTAGGGCTTTTTTTGGGGATTGATAATGTTACATGAAATCAATCTCAACCTTGATGTCACATTTTGGATACCCATAAATCAAAATAGTAAAATTAAATTCCTTTTTCATTTTCACTGCTTTAAATAGCTTCCATTTTTTGTCATTTTTTTGCCCTATAGAAATAGTTCCTCTCCAGGCAGTGAAATTTCTGTTCCTTATAAAAGCTACACATTTCCCTGACGTCATTATTCAGGTCTCCAAATGACCTTCATCAGAGAAGAGGAACTGGAGACATATTTTGGTTATTAAAGGGTAAAAAATAAGCAGGGGAGGGGAGGAAAAAAAACAAGTAAGATTTAAAAAGGAGAATAAGAAAGAAAAAACAGTGCTTTTACCTTTGCATTTCACCTTTTATGCACTAATTACAAAGTCACACACCCAGATAAACACACCTAGATATCCATTACTAATAATTTTTAAGAAATACTTCAGATAGTAAGGCAGTATTCTCCCATCTTATGTTTGCTGGCATGCTCTATATTAGCCCTTTCTCACTGAGCCTGCAAACATGGCCATTGTGGCACTTTACTTACATACTATTTTATTTGTGAAATTACATGTTAGCCCAGAAGAATGTCTTGGGGAAAACAAATTTCATTTTATGCTCTATGCTAGCCACCTCCATCACAGATGCCAAAGAATAAAAAAAATATAGATTGGCTCTCTAAGGATCCTTTTATTTTCTTCATCTGCTTTGTTAGAACTGCCACAGTCTTGTGCTCCTTGCAGAGCATCAGACAGACACATGTAACATCTCCACTCCCTTGCACAGGGAATCACTCACAAAGCTGGTTTCCTATCATCAAGGCACTCTGAGAAGTAACTGAATGTGATGCAGGCCTCAGCAATTATTTAACATCACGAACAGACAGAAATAAGTGAACTGGCTGCCTTGATACTGCAGCACTTCATCCTCACGTGACTGTCTGGAAATTCTGCTGCCCCGAGTCTCTGGTTTCTAGTGAATGTGTACTAATGCCCCAGCCTCTTGGTCGGGGATGCCTTTCACAGGCATGGAACTGTATAATGCATTTTCCAGAATTTATCTGTTACATGCACTGCTGGCACAGAAGTTTGCGTTGGAACTGGCAAGGCTATTAATTGCTATTCTGATTTAACCTTGCTCTGCTTTTTGCACCTTTGCAACACCCATTTGTAAATATACACACACATGTATATATATACATATATATATATACATACATATATATGTGTATATATACACACACATGCATTTATATATATATACATGCATACATACATCTATAAATATACAAGCATTTGAAGCTCTATTTTTTGAGCAGAAATCAATACTAGCTGCCCACTGCCAAGTGGCTCCCCAGAATGCGTGGCCATGAAATTCTGCATTAATAAACACCCATACATGAGACATAGAGAAAGAAAAAGGAAAAATGTCCAAATGAAGGCACCTTTCCATTTCCCACTTGCAAAGTACTGTATAAACAGAAAATTGGAAGAGAACAAAATGCACATTCTTAGAGCTTCTTGTGTATCGCATATTGTATTTCATTATACGTTTTTCAAAAGGCTCCACCTACTCCTTGAGACTAGAAATCTTTTAATAGCATGAAGTTAGTCAATCTTTCTTTCATTAATATTCATATATATGCCCTAGTTCTTACATTTAAATCCACTAATGAAGATTCACTGCTGCTGCAGCCGAACACTCTGCAGGACTGAGACCCTTTTGTGCTGGCAGCCCCTGTGGAGCACTGAACTGTGTGGTGGGCAAACAGCATTCAGCATCATTAAACAGCAGCCACTTCACCTGCTTTCTGCTCCCTTAGCCCTTCTGCTAATTCCTTGGACTTCTTCAGCGCAGTCTCAACTGAGGGGGGTTATGTTTCCATTGCAGAGATGTGAGAGATAGGCAGAGACTTGTAATGTCCCTGGCATCTATGTTGCAAAAGACATTTTTAATAACCTTTGCTGGGTTATTCAATCTTTTCATCATTTGCATTGTAAAATGTTCCCCGTTTTATGAAAGGGAGACAATAGTGCCTCTCTTCTTCCCAAGGATTTCTTACAACCATACAGCTTCTGGTTTCCATTTAGCACTAACTCGATCCCTTTATGCAGCACCACACTGTGATGTGTAAACTTAGCCTGCAACAGAGTCTGAAGGCAGAAGAGACCATTATGATCAACTAGGATTTTTCTCAGGGATTCTGGCATGAGGCTCCACGGTTTCAGTTGCCAAGGAAACAATTATCAATCTTTTCCATCCCTCACCATCCTTATCCCTCCTTTCCATTTTGCTGTTTCTCGCTACAATAAAAGAACCTTGTCAGATGTCCTAGTCCCCAGCACTTGTGTGCTCACCTCCACCCCAAAGAAAAAATAGGAAAGGGTGGCAAGGATCCTTGGCTGGGAGTTCCATCTGAAGCTTAACTCTTATCCTTTGATTTTGTGCTGCAGGTGGACAGCCCTTTGAAAATGATTCTTTCAGCTGCAGATAGTTCATCAAATGTTCTATTGTTTGACTAACACAAGATATTATTTTTGAGATTACCCAGCAGTGTACCACTTGATACATTTTTTGTATCTTTCCTTTTACCCACAGCCTTATCTCCACTACAGCCTCATGCAGAATTGCTTTGGAAAAAAACCCCACACTTTATTACAATGTGCAGCTGAAGGGCAAAAGCAATAATGAGGAAAAGAAAGGAAGATGCAAAGAAATTGGAAACCGTGTAGGAGGAAGATGGAAGGCAAAAACTCTGCATCAACTAGAGAATAAATTAGATGTAGTCAGAGCCAGAGATAAAATTTTGGAATCTCAGGAGGCTAAACTTGGGTACCTTCAGGCAAGTTACAGAATATCTGCATGGTCCCCTAAGGTCTAATCAGTCCTACCTGTAGAGTTCATAGCTTCTGACAGTTGCACTGATTTTATGCCATTAAATAAAACTGTAGGATGGAAGGGTGCCTCACCAATGTAATTTGAAAGGTACTCCCCTCAAATTCAGTGGAATTACATCAGTGTAATCAGTTCCTCAGTGTGTGCAGGAGAAAGGACGAAAGCAGCAACTGCAGGAAGGGAAAGAAAAACCACATACAAAAAGCTCATGGGCAAGAGGGCTGCCATTTGGCATGTTTTGATGATTCACCACTTAAGGCAATTGCCATGCTTTTATAAGTAGCCTAACAACAGCTCACATAAAGGAAAACAAACTTACAGTGCAAACCTTTGGAATATCAAATCACGAAGCAAAAGTCAGATACATAGAAACTGAAACATTCCTCAGAGTATGCGTCTAGGCAGAGAGAAACAAGGTACACCACATTAATAAGACATTTGTTGCTTATGGTCAGGGAGTGATGCTTCAGCCCTTCCTCTTCTGGACACTCATTTTTGGAGCTTGCTGAGGGGTTTTTCATTCTCTGTGTGTATGGAGACATAACAGGATGGTTCTGAGGATGGCCAAACCAGGCATGTGCACACAGAAGGTGTTATGTCAAACATAATGGCCAGTCTCTTCGCGAACGAAGAACCGGGGAAGGTCTTTCCACCTTCCAGCCTGCGCATTGGATTTTTTAGGTGAGACACAGTGTGCGCGGAACTGAGCCCACCCTTTAATCCTGAGGTTCATCTGCCGGGGCCAAGCACGCTTGGACAGTGGCAGCGAGGTCCTCAGGACGTAGATGGATTGCCTTATGGGCTAACGAGCTCCATCTGCCCGGGGAGGGGCCCCGACCGGGAATCGAACCCGGGTCTCTGCAGTGACAGTGCAGTGTATTTTCCCCTGGACCACCGGGGGCTCCCAATGTCAAACATACAGCACCATGGAAATGCTCAGCATATGTCCAATGGATCTGGCACCAGAGCCCTTGTGCCTCTGCTAGGGCCTCCATGGACCAACCCCTCAGGATCGGGTTGTGCCATTGCTCACTGTAAACCTGGTAAATCTAGATGTTGTGGCCATTCGGGTCCACTTGTTTAAGGCATTGCACCTAAATGTAGCCCAGAAAGATGCACCATACCAAAATCCCTGAATTTTTTTTCCTGCAGAAATCACTTGCCAATGGTTTAGGGTGGTTGTAACAGAAGTATCAAGAAAAAAAAAATCTGTGTGTGAAAAATGATGAAGAGGGCAAGTTATTTTTATGAATGTCAACAATATCTCAGTTTTCCTGTTGGCTATTTTCCTGTCAGGCTGTACAGAAGGATGTCAGAGACAAGCAAACAGGAAGACAACAGTGACAATACAGCAATACCATTTCAAATATCACAGAGCTATTACAGTAGTGTACTGGGGAACATACCTTCAGGCAGGCGAGTGTTAATTTCTCCTAAGTCCAGGGAGAATAAAGAAGACATTGAACTGCTGAAAACCACAGCTAGACAAAGAGGAATGGATGAACAGCAGTGTTGAGATGAGTCAGAAAAAGCCAGTCTTTTAGAGAGAGCTGGGTTTGGCACTTGACCTCAAACAGGTGTGTTTATGCTCTGTGGAAACTGTTGAAACAAATGTGTTTTCTAGTAAGACATACACAAATGCTCTCTCTTTGTTTCATCTCATGTTTCATCTGATTTTTTTTGGCAGACAAAACATATTTTCTGTAAAGAAAAGATATTCTTGAGCCCCCTGGATCAGCTGCTGGCCTGAAATATGTAGGGTCAGTGCAGTACAGAGCAGGCACTGCTGGCTTCTCTATTCACATGTTGACTGCTGGATTCAACTACCCCGGAGAAGACTTATGTGGAGGGAAAAAAGATCCCTGGCTGGCAGTGACGTGAGATGACTTAGTGTGCCAGCTGCCTCCCAAACCTGTGCTTCCTCCCCTCAGCAGTGGTACACAAGTGTGAGAACTCATTATTCCCATACCAGAAAAGCAATTCCCTAACAACAAAACAACCCAAACAAACAACCAAGAAAAAACCCTCAA